TGTGTGTGTGTGTGGAGTTAAGGATAATCATTTAATTCAAAGAGGAACAAAGAGATGAAATGGAAAATTAACAAAATCCATTATTTAGATATCTTAAATTAGGAAGTTAACCTTTATTTATATCAAAGGGTAAATAGATATATGAAAGGTTTCTCCCTGTTAAAAGATAGTTTTTCATTCCCACTGTTGCCAAATTGATTGTTAATAGGGGTCATTGGATTTGGGGGATTTTCGCTCTTTTCTTTGTATTGTTGTTGGATTTTTACCTTACAAAATAAAACTTATTGTGGCAACATATGTGATTTGTTGCTATATAAATAAGATGGAACTGAACTGAGTTGTATTGAATTGAAAGTAATTATATCAAAAGCTTTAAGAATTTAGACTATCATGTAGGAATACTAAATGTTTCCACTGGAGAAATTTGTGTAACGGGATATATAGAGTCTTTGAAAATAGAATTTGAAGAAAATATTCAGCAGGTGGTAACGGTACAAATGACTTCACAAGGACAGTTTGAATTCTTACATGTGTGTGTATGCGTGCGTGTGGTCATAGAGAGCATGTCTTCACCTGATGTTGTGCAGGAGCAGACAAAATATCAGAGCGTTTCTCAGAAACTGAGAAACCTTCAGAAGAAATGAAAAACAACCAAAAACATTGGAAAAAATATGAATAAACATTTTATTTGTTGAAATTGTTAATTATTTGTATTGGGTTTTTTTATCTGTTTGTAAAGATAAGATTTCCATCGTCATTTTAGGCAATGAAGAGTCTTTGAAAAAAGCTCTAGTAACTGTCATTAAAGGCATAGATTGACAGGGCCAGGGTTGCAATAGCAAGCTGCGAAGCAAATAAAAAAGCGATGCAGGTTCTCTGCCCTTCAGTTAACAATCCGGAGCATCTCATAGTAACGCAGAAGGTTACCTTTTGCGTTACTATGACACTCTTCGAGCTGTTACAAGTTGCTGGTATGTTATGCGTTTGGAATTAATAATATTGCAAGCATTGATGTCCATTTGATACTATTTCTTTTACAGAGAAAGAGTTCTTGAGGATATTCAACCAATACAGATACTATGTAGTGTAAACACACATGTACAGTGGCTTGCAAAAGTATTTGGCCCCCTTAAACCACCTTTTGTCACATTACAATCATGAATCAATTTTATTGGAATTCCACGTGAAAGACCAACACAAAGTGGTGTACACGTGAGAAGTGGAACGAAAATCATGCATGATTCCAAACATTTTTTACAAATAAATAACTGCAAAGTGGGGTGTGCGTAATTATTCAGCCCCCTTTGGTCTGAGTGCAGTCAGTTGCCCATAGACGTTGCCTGATGAGTGCTAATGACTAAGTAGAGTGCCACCTGTGTGTAATCTAATGTCAGTACAAATACAGCTGCCCTGTGACTACCTCAGAAGTTGTCTAAGAGAATATTGGGAGCAACAACACCATGAAGTCCAAAGAACACACCAGACAGGTCAGGGATAAGGTTATTGAGAAATTTAAAGCAGGCTTAGGCTACAAAAAGATTTCCCAAGCCTTGAACATCCCACGGAGCACTGTTCAAGCCATCATTCAGTTAGTATGGCAGAGTATGGCACAACTGTAAACCTACCTAGACAAGGCCGTCCACCTAAACTCACAGGCCGAACAAGGAGCATGCTGATCAGAAATGCAGCCAAGAGGCCCATGGTGACTCTGGACAAGCTGCAGAGATCTACAGCTCAAGTGGGGGAATCTGTCCATAGGACAACTATTAGTCGTGCACTGCACAAAGTTGGCCTTTATGGAAGTGTGGCAAGAAGAAAGCCATTGTTAACAAAAAACCATAAGAAGTCCAGTTTGCCACAAGCCATGTGGGGGACACAGCAAACATGTGGAAGAAGCTGCTCTGGTCAGATGAGACCAAAATGGAACCTTTTGGCCTAAATGCAAAACGCTATGTGTGGTGGAAAACTAACACTGCACATCACTCTGAACACACCATCCCCACTGTCAAATATGGTGGTGGCAGCATCATGCTCTGGGGGGGGCTTCTCTTCAGCAGGGACAGGGAAGCTGGTCAGAGTTGATGGGAAGATGGATGGAGCCAAATACAGGGCAAACCTGGAAGAAAACCTCTTGGAGTCTGCAAAAGACTTGAGACTGGGGCGGAGGTTCACCTTCCAGCAGGACAACGACACTAAACATAAAGCCAGGGCAACAATGGAATGGTTTAAAACAAAACATATCCATGTGTTAGAATGGCCCAAAGTCCAGATCTAAATCCAATCAAGAGTCTGTGGCAAGATCTGAAAATTGCTGTTCACAAACACTGTCCATCTAATCTGACTGAGCTGGAGCTCTTTTGAAAAGAAGAATGGGCAAGGATTTCAGTCTCTAGATGTGCAAATTTGGTAGAGCCATACCCTAAAAGACTGGCAGCTGTAGCAGCAAAAAGAGGTTCTACAAAGTATTGACTCAGGGGACTGAATAATTATGTACACCGCACTTTTCAGTCATTAATTTGTAAAAAATGTTTGGAATCATGTATGATTTTCGTTCCACTTCTCACTATACACCACTTTGTATTGGTCTTTCACGTGGAATTCCAATAAAATTGACTCATGTTTCTGGGTGTACTGTGGAAAATTTAAAGGGGGCCAAATACGTTTGCAAACCACTGTACAAGTACAGACAATGTCTGTAGTGGAAAGCTTAAAGGTAATTTGAAAGTGTGATTTTATTACCTAAAAGTTCTATCTTGTCTTATTACTTCTGTTGTCTCTGAATCAGAGCTGTAGGTCTAAAGAAGAAGAAAAACCAGCACAAACATAAACAAGAGTAGCATTACTTGTTTTTTCACATTCAGCTACAACATGTAGTAGTGAGTCTGAAAAACTCAACATACAGACAAAGAATGCACTAGCATACTGTATGGTTGAACCACAATTAACCTTTCCATGAACTACACATAAAGGGTTTGTGTAGTTGTGTGTTTTTCAGCTTGTGCTACAGCTATTGAGTTAACTATCATGTATCCTATTATTGTGTGCTGAACAGTTTTGGCAGTAAAAGTGAAAAGATTTAAACTGGACTGAAGACCAAATATATGGTAACACTTTTTAGAACCCATTACAACCCAGAACAGCAGTTGTTTTGACTTAAAGAAATTAACTGTTTGAAATTTCGTTCAATTTGCGCTTGGTCTTCGTCATTTCAGGAAAGCATATTTACACCAAAGTGAACGTTGTTCTTCTGGGATTGGCCGGGACTGGAAAGAGTGCAAGTGGAAACACCATCCTTCGAAAGAAGCACTTTGTTTCTAAACCCAGTTCAAATCCAGTCACCACAGAGTGTCAGGTGGAAGAAACTAAGATAAATGACTTACATGTGCGTGTGATTGATACGCCAGACATGTTTGATGATGACACTGAACCATCAGTTCGGGACAAACATGTAAAAAGGTGCAAAGAGCTTTGTGAGTCAGAACTCTGTGTGTTTGTACTTGTGATGCATGTGAGCAGATTTACAGATGGTGAGAGAGACATACTGAAAAAGCTAGAAAACACTTTTGGGACCAAAGTGAAAGAACAAACTGTCATCCTGTTCACCCGAGGAGACGACCTGGAAGAGGCAGACATGACCCTGGAGGATTTTCTTCGTTCCTGTCAACCTGGTCTGAAGGAAATCATTGAAAAGTGCAACAACAGGTGTGTTGTTTTTGAGAACCGCAGCTCAAGTTCAGACCAGGTGGAAAAGCTAATGAACACAGTGAGCGTGGTGTTAAAGAAAACAGCAAAGATAGATTAAAAAAGGTCTTAGTTGCCACTTTTATGTGTATAAATATAAAAAGCAAAGCTTTGATAATTATAATGAAAGTATTCAAAATCATATACAAATTGCATTTTTGCCAAGATTTTTAATTTTCAAATTTTTGATAAAAAAAAGTGCTAGAAGTCTGTGAAGGTTCTCAGTCATCCAGGTCATCGTAGTATAAGGAGCTTGGAAAGAAAAGCGTCTGGACTTCTTTAAGTCGCTTTGAAGATGTTTCACCTCTCATCCAAGAAGCTTCTTCAGTTCTAAGAGTCAAAGGGTGGAGAGTCCAAGATTTTAAACCCAGTGGGACCCCCCTGATGATCCTCTACCTAATCACATGAGCCAAGGTGTGAAAAAAGTGCTAGAATCTTTGTAAATTGTATCCACAAAACACATTTGTTATCTTTATCATGGAAGTTGTGTTTTTGGTATTGTTTGCCTGTGTCATTCAAACATTTTTTTAAGATATTCTGACAAACCTTTGTAAGGGTGTAGAGTGGTGTCATGTTATCAATCCATTAAAATTTTCTTTAAACCAACCATGGTCTTTAAAATTGACTCAATGATTTATTGGTGGAAAATGTAACAAAAGCCTTATAATTCAGAAAAAAAGATTCTTACATGTGTGGCACATATTGTGGTGTGTATATATATCAACATCAGGCACCCTGTTGAGAAGCGAACTACTGAAACAAGAAGGCATCAGTGGGCAAGAGAACCACAATGGGGTTGCAATGGTCAGTGGCGGTCCTAGCCTGTTTATCTGCTTAACTGTATCTTGTACCCCTAATCCTAAAGTGTATATTTATTGTCTTACTCTTCTTATATTTAATGTTTGTTTACTTGCACTGCTGTAACAGGAGCCTCGTCATCTCGTGTTTCTATATACTGTACCTATATAGCGGAGATGACAATAAAGTTTACTTTGACTTCAACAGTGAGCAGGCGTACCTAGGGCTCCCGCGCTCACTTTTCGCTTACAGAATGTCAAAAAAACATCGGTGCAAATTATAAGTCTGTATCATGATGTCTGGTGTTTTCGCCCTCCGCAAACGGAGGGCACCTTTACTCCCAGCAAATGGGCGATAGAAAACCGATCGGTGCCTACGACATTCCCGATAAGTGCAGGTATGATGTCGGGGCAGCATGAGTATGAGTAATTTTTTTTTTTTTTTGCCGATGCCCGTGATGCCGCCCCCCACCATGATGCCGCCCCGGGCAACCGCCCGTATCAAAAATGGTAAATGGCCTGCATTTGTATAGCGCTTTACTCAGTCCCTAAGGACCCCAAAGCGCTTTACACTACATTCAGTCATTCACCCATTCACACACACATTCACACCTGACCTGCTCTGCCACCTGAGCTACAGCCACCCCGCTACTGGCAATGGTACTATGCAAGTAAACCCAGTGGAAGGGGTTACGCGAATAGGATGAGGGATCTATGGAATCTTCGATACCGAACATCTACATTGACGGTGAAACAACTACTGGCTTAGTGTTCCAAATTTTGGAAGAAGGGACTGCTCTCACAGCTAGACATTGTCAAGATAGAGTCATGGCAAAACTTGAAACCTGGATCATCTGTAGCTGATTACCAAGAATATGTGAAGTACCCTCAGAAGATCTGCTAGATCAGTGTTTCCCAACCACTCTGCCACAGCACATAGGTGTGCCATGAGAAAAGATAAGGTGTGCCGTGGAAGACTATCTAGTTACACCTAATTAGTACTCTTATCAACCGGCATGAGTAACAGGCAGAACAATTACATTCTCTTCCACTGTAAAAGAGAAGAAGATAAAGATGAAATTTAGTGGTCAGGGGAAAGCAAAAAAGGTATACTGAGGACAAACCGAGCCAATTGTGCTATGCCTGGTGCGTGGAAAAATTATCAGTATACTTTTTTTTGACATCTTTGGTGGGGTGACGTGATTTTTGTGATGTGAAATATCTGCCAGGGCTCCAAAAGTTTAGGAAACACTGTGTTAGATGATGTGAATGCAGCACTAAGGATGATACCTACCACCACCAGTTCCAAGACTAACCAGCTTATCTACTATATGACAGCAGTGATCAATGAGATGCTTGGCTATAAGTTTGGGAAAGCAGAAAGATGCCTTCTCTATTAAACCACTTCTAGAATGTCCAGAAGACATTAAATCTTGGATTTCCCTAAACTTCTTAAGATGTTATTCAGGAAAAATTGAAGTTATTGTGCTTGATCAAACACAATCACTTTGACCACTGATCAAAGCCTTCTTAGACTGTGAGATTTCCATCAGTAATGGGCGACATCTAAAATCTGACGTGTACCGTAAACCTACACGTATGGATCAGTATTTAAGGTTTGACTCTCATAACCCACTGGAGCACAAACTGGGTGTCATCAGGACGCTACAACACAGACTTCAACTGTGAGAGACAGAATGTGAAAAAAAAAATCCATGAATTCACATGGTAGGATTTGTAACATTCATTACCTGTCGGCAGCCTCCGGAGTCCCACAGGCTAACCAAGCCCGAGGACTCCTTCTTCAGCCTGGTGGCTCCCTTCACCTCTGGTGTCCACCATTTGGTTCAGGGATTACCACCACGGCAGGCACCAACCACCTTGCGGCCCCAGCTCAATGCAGCAGCTTCGGCAATGGAGACGCTGAACATGGTCCAACTCATCTCAAATATCATCTGTAGTTAAATTTTTTTTTTTAACTGCGCCAGATTTCTAAAGCTAAGCATTATATACCACACAGGGACCTGGAAAAACTTATCCACACTTTTGTGACCTCCAGGTTAGATTATTGTAATTCTCTCTACTGTGGTCTCCAAGCTTCTCTCTTCAAAGGCTGCAACCGTTCAGAATGCTGCAGCTCGCCTTCTTACTGGAACTAGAAAATTTGACCCTATTACTATGGCTCTTGTTGATCCACACTGGTTACCAATCAAATATCACATTGAGTTTAAAATCTTGCTACTCACTTTTAAAATCCTGAATAACATTGCGCACAACTACCTCACTGACCTCCTCAATCTGTACACTCCTTGTCGTGCATTAAGATCATCAGGTCAATTACTCCTGGCCCAACCTAAGTTCAGACTGAAGACCAGAGGCGATCGTGCCTTTGCTTCAGCTGCACCCAACCTTTGGAATAGCCTCCCTGCTTCTATTCGAGCCTTGGACTCTATCCAATCCTTTAAATCAAGATTGAAAGCATATCTATTTGACTTGGCTTTCCCGACCAGTTAATACCCTTTTAAACTTTTTAAATTTTAAACTTTTAAATCTTTTATTGAATGTATTATTTTATTATTAATTTTACTGCTGTTTTTGTCTTCTTAGCCAATTTTGTATTTATCTAACTCTTCTGGTTTGTTAGTGTCTCTATCCTGTCTGTGCTACTGCCCGATTTGTACCCTGTTATTGACTTATGTTGACTCTCCATATTACTGTGAACTTTGGTGTTCTTTCGTGTTTTTAAATGTGCTATATAAATAAAAATTGTACTGTATTATATTGTAATGTTTAGTGGGAAGAGTGTGTTTGGGAAGGATCACCGCACCTTCAACTGGAACAATCACCGATGTTCACCGATGTGGAAATCACGTTTTGTGGGAACTGTTTTTCACTGTAAATAAATTCACTGTCACTATTAAGGAAGCCTTGCAACTGGGTCCTGACTCTCCAGCAAACAGCATATCTGACACGAACATGACTAAATTGTTTTCACTAAACTTCTTCCTTTCTTGTTCTACAACATTAAGGAATGTATTTAATGTTTGTGTTTCATTATTGTGCTTCAACACAAGAATCATTGAAAACATTTTCAGTGGAAACTGAGCCGTCTTACTGGTTTTTCCATGCCACTATCCAACTTTCTGTCATGTTTGTTAACCAAGAGTAACACCCTTCTTTCTTTTTGAAAACCTGTGGCCTCTAATGACCTTGTTGTGGTGCAGCTGCAAGGGCAGGGTGGTTCTGTGGATTCAGGGGCTGTATCCCAATTCAGAGTCTGCAGACTTAAAGGCCGCATTTTAAGGCCGATTACAGTGACGCAACGAAGGCTGTCCCAATTTAAAGGCTGCTCAAAATGCAGCCCTCAAATGCGTCCTTCATTTCCCTGAATTTTAAGGATGGGTCAGTGTAGACTTCATGGCCCAACATATCCCAGACTTCATATTGTGGCGGTGGGTGTGGATAATTTTGAAAAAAACGGCTGAAGCAGGGCGGCTGAAGAGTAAACTTTTAAAAGTAAGTACTGGATATTATGTCACTTATTCATGTGCAAGTGTTTAATAATGAACAAATAAAGAACAAAACATTACTGTTGGCCACATGTCGGCAAAGTTATGTGACATTAGCGATGTTTGTACTAACTTGGTTTTAAAGCCTTTTTTTTTTAATATACGCCGTTCAATTGTCAACCTTAATCTTACAGAGAATCTGATGATTTTATGGATAATGTTAGAGATTCTTTTAACAAGTACTCAGATGCAATGAAATAACACTCAGACTCTTCAGCAGTTTAACGTGCACGGGTGAAATCTCAGAAGAGATTCACACCTCCTTGGTGCAGTCTGGCTTTATTTATACACATCATGAAGCATACAAAAAAGGAAATATCATCCTTATCACGTCAAGAAAACAGGTGTGGTTTATCAAAAAACTTTGTGTTCTCTACAAGGTTGTTTCTTACTCTTGGGTGGCGGTTTCCTGCTCCTAACAGATAATGTCAAGGCAAAGACTGATAATGTGAAGGCAAACAGTTTCCGTTATAGAGTAGGGAGCCAGCAATTAAAATATGCAGCTGGTTGAGTATAAAAGAGAAATATAAACACTCTTAGCTGATTATTATATGAATAATAAAACCTTTAAAAGCAAAAATACTTTGACAGATAATTAAAGTCAGTCATAAATCCACAAACACAACAAGCTGAAAGTCAGTGATGCTGCTCGGTTTGCAGTC